AAGCTTCAAACCTCACCAAACCTGGGTCCAGCACAAGTGCACTGACCTTGAGATGAGTGATTGGTTATGAACGCATACAGGGGCAGGATACACCTTCCCTAGCAACACCAACATGTTCTTTTTCAAAGTAAAATTCAGAGATTTAGCAAGGTCATGCAGTGCTTCAGCTAAATTCCAAGAACCTCAAGTGGGTCTGTGCTTTCTCTTGGCTTTCTAGGGCTTTGGTACAGAATTCCATTCCAGGATGGCTGCCTGGGAGGAGCAGGCATCCGATCCTGGGGACCTGCTACGCGCATACACTGGTTCTCTGGATTCTTTTGTCCCTAGCTCCATGGTATTCTGTGTTCAAGGGTCCTCTTCACCTGTGAAGTTTCCATGACTAATTCTGGCAAAGCAGAGAGAGCCTTCCTCACGTCAGCAAAGCTGCTCTGTCACATAATAGAGGCAAGCAGAGCCAAAATTCCCCCTTGGTACAAGCAGGGCTGTTTTGTCAAGAAAAAAAGTTGGGAAGGAGGAAAAGAATAAGGAGACAGAGCTGACCCAGTTCACCTTAGTGAAATGACATTATGCAAAGCTGACTATTTTATGGCTTCACTTATAAGCTTCCTCCCCTGCCAAAGCACTCTGCTCTTCCAGAAATTCTTTTATTTCGGGAGACTTTTTAAAGGACAGTCAAAGTGTATTTTATGCTCAAGCTTAATGTTCTTTAGCCTAGAGATTCAGACACACCATCACTTCTACTTGTTATTTTGCAAACAACTTGCTTTTCCATTTGCTTGCAAAGGGTCTGCTTTGCTTGCAACCAAAAAAAAAAAAAAAAAAAAAAAATCCATTGTGTAAGACCTTGGACTCAAAACAATACCTTTCCTGGCTTTGACTTATAAACAGGCAGAGTTAAGAGAAAAAGACTAGAATTAAAGTATGAAGACCCAGTCCTTTAACTGTCAGATCTTGGAATGCTCATTTATTGCTGTGAGTCTTGCTACCTTTTCCTCGTAGAATCTTAAATCAGAGAGCCATTGGAGGTAACCCCTACCTGCCCCATATTAAAAGGTTTAGAGTAAAAAAAATGAAAGTAAAAATTACATATTCATCAAAATTGCTGAGCAAGTATAATATATCATTATTGTGTAGTGATTGACAGTTACTCAAAGAAAGTTTCTCCCTGGTAAAGTCTGAAATGTTCCTAGTGACTCTGACAAAATAAGGGAATTTTCAGTGTGAAAATGAACCCTTAGACCAAATCCTCAGAGCTGTTTTGCTATACACATCATGAAAATAACATGGAGGAGAGTCTGAGCTAGGTGGCACAGCCCTCACCACTGTCCCCTTTCCCTACAGCTCCTTCACTGGACCAAAGCCCTACCAGAGCCTGGGGACCCTGATATCAACTATTGAGACCCAGCTTGGTCCCCACCACCTCCTGCCAGCCCACTTCACTGTCTTCCTCATCCTGACCCCTCACCATCCTGAGCACCTTCATGCTATGTTCACCTTTCTGCAAGGTGCACTTCTCTCCCACCCAGATGGGTCAGGCAGCAGATGAGTAAGACTTCCTGCCATGCTAGGGAGTGTCTAGGAGTCTTAGGGCTACGTCTAACATTCTTGTGGCTTCCTGAGAAGGTGGGGCTTAGAGAAGGGTTTTCAATGGCACAGAAGCCAACTTTCTGCAGCAAATCCTTTCATTGTTTTCAATCTCAGTATTAAAGTATGCCCATGAATGAGGAGAGCCGGGGAGGGCTTTGAGGGCTGCAAAGGAGGACATTCCCTCCTTCCCTGTCCGACCCTCCTGCCTGTACTCTTCTCCCACCCCCTGCTTCACTTCTCACTGGAGGACAGAGCTGAGCTGAGCTGCAGGAGCTGAGCCTGCAGGTCTGCATTGCGGCTCTGGGCTGTGTGAGACAGAGAGAGGTTGCCACCTATTGACAGATGTGTCACCTGCAAAGAGGAATGGTTGTTAACTAATGGCCCCCTATTGCCCATGCTCTGCAGACAGGCCATGAGGGTTCCTGGACCCTTTGCTTTTTCTATTCCATCAATCCTGTTGCTCTCAGTACTTCTTTTCTATTGTAAGGGAAGACAGGTAAGAATGAGGACACAAGCCCCAGGGGACAATGAACAGCATCGTAATAGGAAAAATAAATTGTCACTGTGGTAACAGCCACATTCTGTTGTGTGGTGGGCACGCTCCTGCGTACCATACACCTCATTTAACCATGGCAGCAGCCCTCAGAGGATCAACATTCTCACTCAGTACACGAAGAAACTCAGGTTTGAAGACAGTACAGTACCTTGTCCTTGACCTTGGAAAATAATTCACATCTCTGAGGCACTTTCCTCTGCCACTTGGTAATTACCCAATTCACATCCCCATTGTTACTTCCTTAGTCTTAATCTGGATAAGATTTTTTTTTTAAATTTAAAAAAAAAACATTTTTCATTTGATTGAGTAGAATTCTAGTTCTATCTCCTTCTAGGTTATTTGACCACTAATCCTCAGTTCCCTCATCTGTGAAATGAGGCTAGTAATGATCTCTAATCTGTGGAGTTATTGTAGACTTGTATAATAAGCCATTAGCATGTCAGGTATTTGTAAGCAGGAACTTAGTTAACATGAGATCTGAAAATCTGGGTTAGACTCTGAGATCCTATCATTTTTAGCTTTGAGGGGTCTTGGGTAAACCCCTTGACTGTTCTGAAGTTCAGTTTGCTCCTCCATAAAATAGGGCTAACAATAATATACACATTCTCTGAACAGTAAGATAAAATCAGGTGTATGAAACACTTCATAAATTTTAATTGTGCTATTAAATACTGTTCTCATTTAAGTATAGATATATTTCTCCAAATGGATTTTTGGGGAACAGTTTCTGAACACTAGCTTGGATTGAATTCGGTTATTAAGGAAACATTTCTATTTTTAATGCTCACTAAAAAGAATAAGAGAGAATGGTGCTCTGTAACTGCCACCAGCAGTTCTGCAGGCAGCATTAACAAGTATTTCTGTTAATCACACTTTTCATGGGGAGCTTTATGGTTTTGGGTACTTTCAAATATATCGCCTGATTTTATCTTCACAGGGCAGGATGGCTAATTCGTCCACTTTAACAGATGAGGAAATGTTAGTCTCAATGAATTAAGTGACTAGTTAGGGACACACAGCCAAGGGACGTCTGTGAGTGCCGATCAGGGGAGGCAGGTGCTGTGTGTCCTTCAGGGCAGGATTTTGTATGCTTTTGTGTCTAGCTCATGTGACAGCACCACAGGGCTTCGGTGTCTAATGGAAGAGTGCGGACAAGGTTATCCTGAGTTTTGGGGGGTTTTTTGGTGTTTTGTTTTGTTTTGTTTTGTTTTGTTTTGTTTAAGTGATCACTGGTAGTTTTTTTCTCTTCTTTTTAGCGCAGCTTTATGTAGTTCCCGCGAGAGGGCCCAGCCTGGAAAATATGCCTGATTTTTATCTGTACTCCCTGTTTAGGAAACGACGCTCTCCAGAGCCCCCAGCATTCTGGGAATTTTCTTTTCTTCCCCGCCGGCCTGTTTTATTGACTTCTCCTTAGCAACATGCACAAAAGAACTGGTTTAGTAACAGCGTGCGAACCAATGAAATGAAAGCATGCAAATAACTTGTAGACCAATGGGAACCCTGCTTACCCCAAGCAGTTTTATGCCGAAGAATAACTTAGAATTTGCTGTGCAGCCTCCAGGTGGCAGCAGACCGGCTGTATTTGGCACAGGTCCTCTGCTCTCTAGCCTGTACATTTTTCTTTAATTTTTTAGTCCTACTCTGGGATATGCAGTGTTTACTGGTAGAAGAATTTTTACTCTTACAGCTCGGTGGGTGTGAGTTCTCTGCAGGACATGGTGAATATGGCTGGGAGCGAGGAATTTTGTTTTTGCCATAGTTGGTCGGATGACCGTAGCCTGGCCCCTGACATCTTTGTTGTGTTTCACGGCCACTGCCAGCCCTGTGGGTATATATCGGGGGCTCTGGTGATTCTTCTTTCCCAGCTGCTTGGGGAGAGGAGCTGGAGAAATTGCATTCCCTTCGTTTAACCACCACTACTGCGGGACGGAGGGGGAATGAAGTGGGGTTGGTTTTCTGCCTCCCGTGACAGGGAGCAAAGGGCGTGCCTCCAACACACTAGTACGTATGTTGCCCACTTTTTCGGATGGCATAGACTGAGGCCATTCACTGCCTTGTCAGTTCAGCTGCCCATGCCTGAAGAGAAATCCTGACTGAGGAAGACTTGAAGGTGTTCCTACCGTTAGGTGTTTTTACTCACCTTGGGGTAGCCCGGCCCTCCCAATCTTAAAGCCAGAGCAGAAATGGACAGGAGCTGAATACTAACCGGTAGCAAATGTGTATTTCTATGGTTTAGCATCCTTCTCTTAGTCTTTTCAATAATACCACATTGTACACCACTCAGTGAGGTTTGATCCTTGAGATGCTCGTGTTTCTTTCCAGTGTTTCCATTTCCGCTTGGCTTAGTGATTTCATCCTTTCAGAATCATGTGAGGCTTCAGAAAGAATCACATTTTCAGAAAAAAAATCATTTGATTCATGCCTTCTCTTTCCAGCTTGCTGGGCTCCTGTTGGTACCCCCCTCTCTGTATATATTTTTTTCTACCCACCAAATGCCTGTTTCCTGATGATCCTGAAATTTCTTTAGAACCAGGCCTGTCCTTTATGTATCCACTCTGTTTGTAGTGTTGGCATATAGTAGATGTGCTCAGTAAACATTTAAAAAGGGAGAAAGAAAGGAATGCTTGATTTTGGAAAACCAATCTCAAGGTGTCAGAGGTTCCTGAACTTGGGCCAGAGCAGTGCCTGGGAGCATGGTATTGGCGAATGGGGACAACTTGGGGCAGACCAGAGCTCTTCAACGCCGTGAGCTGCAATTCCAGACCAAAGCCCAAGCATGGAAATAATCGCCACTACTGGCTCATCCCATGATGGGCTCACCTCAGTAACATGGTTTCCTTTGTGATTTGTGTTTCAGGAAGAAATAAGGAGCAAATCCAAGATTTGTGCCAATGTGTTCTGTGGAGCTGGCCGGGAATGTGCAGTCACAGAGAAGGGAGAACCCACTTGCCTCTGCATCGAGGTAGATCCTGGTGGCTGGGACCAGAGGACAGCAGCCAGAGCCAGTCCCAGCACACGATTCGTGATTTCATCTTTATAAAAGCGCACTTTGTCTCTGTGAAAGATGTAGACGTTTTTCCCTGCAATAGAAACCCAATGTCTAGTTTTTAATGGCAGGAATTTTTTTTCTTTTATAAAAGTTTAGCTATATAACATTTTTAAATTTAAAAATCTAATTCCTATGTATGATAGAGACATTCATACAGATGTAAAATTAACAATCCTTATATTTTGCTAATTCCATTAGTCTGTGGTAACTTATATTGACAGCTTGGTATGTTTGCTGCAATATCTTGGTATCTTCTCTGTACTAAGATAAACATAATCATCATTTTATATGCAATATATAATTATGCTCTCTATTTTATACAAAAATGACATTATATGCCGATGTGTTCCTTGAAAGCACAGGTCCTTCTACAAATAAATGCAACCAAGTTAGTCTCCAAATTCAAGGCACTGATACACTACTCCCAAAAGGAAAGTCTCCCATCTTTGAAACCTACAACTTGATACTACCTGGGATCTGTTTGCCCCAAGAGGTCCCTCACTAGAGTGTCCTGGCTGAGGGTCATGGCATGAGCTCAGGCTTAGGATTGATCTGGAAGCTTGATATCTATGCTGTGTACAGTTGCATAATTTCAGGAAACTGATACCCATGAAATGCCCTGAAGAAAGTGCTCATGTTTTGTTTTGCTCAGCCTGCAACACATAGTAGGAATTGCACAGTAAATAATGGTTAAATGAATAAAGGAAGTTTATCTTTCTGGGCTCTAGTATCTCAATCCTATAAATTGGAGGGAATGAATTACCTTCCAGGTCCAGGGTTTTGTTTCTTTTTGTCACATATGCTCTTTCTTTTGACTTTGCCTTTTTTTCCCCCCTTGCATCAGTTTTTTGTTTGTTTTGGTCCTTTCATTAGATCTGACATAAACTGGCTTTCCCCTCTCTTCCCTCTTAAAAGCTACAAAAATCTAAAAAAGAAAAACTGAACTTGCCTATGATCTCAGCCATCTCAACAGCCAAAGTGGAACTTAGCTGCCAAGTGAACGTTATTCTGTATTCCTGCCTGTAACTGTTTTCTGTAGTTCTTCACCCACCCATAGCCTTGCAGTTGTGATTGTGAAATTAGGAGGAAAATGAAATGGGTCCCACATACCAAACAGAGCAAGGAATTTGTACAGTTAGGCCTCAGAAGAATTTAGAGTATGAGAGACAGAGAGCCTGTGCCTGCTTTTAGTGTTCACATTCTTAGCTGTCAGCTCTGGCTATTTTGTGTCATAGCATCTCAGAATGTCAAGAGATCAGGGCATGCAAAGATACTGAATGAGTGTTTCCAAAGTGATGGTTCAAACGGCTCACTTCCTAATAAAATGCCCTTTCTGGAAATCCTGTTGGGTGAAGGGGTTGCCTTAGTCTGTTTGTGTTGCCATAGCAACATGCCTAACGGACATTTAGTTCTCAGGCCCTGGAATTCCAAGATCAAGGCACAAGTAAACTTGATATCTGGTACGAGCCCCTTCTCTACGTCCAGTGTGCACCTTAAATGTTGCACCCCACATGGCAAAAGGCAAAAAAGAAGGGGGCTGAGTGTTGTGTGAAACTTTTTTTTTTATAAAGGTCCTTAATCTCATTCACAAGGAAGGAACTTTCTTGACCTACTCAGCTCTTAAAGATGACTTCTTAGTATTGTGGCACCTGGGACCGTTTCAAAGTGAATTTAGGTGGAGATGCAGAAACTTAAGCCATAGTCGGGTGTTTCTTCACTGAATGGGGAGAGTGTGTGTGTGTGTGTGTGTGTGCGCATGCGCGCACACGCGTGTGTGTGCATGAGTACCCATGACTACACACCATCCTCCTGTGGGTCTATTTCAGCAATGCAAACCTCACAAGAGGCCTGTCTGTGGCAGTAATGGCAAGACCTACCTCAACCACTGTGAATTGCATCGAGATGCCTGCCTTACTGGATCCAAAATTCAGGTGGATTATGACGGGCACTGCAAAGGTAAGGCACCCCGTCAGCACTCCAGGCTGCAGAGGCAGGGAATGGAGTGGCTAATCACCACACAACGGCCTGATTTATCCACCATATAGAATCTCCAACTCTCGGGGGTGCTCCACGCAAAAGGAGGAGGTGTGAGACAAGGAAGGCAATTCAGTTGCTGTAAAAAGCTAAAGCAGGAAAGAGATCCTGTGCTGCAGCCTTAGAAAAAGGGCAGGTGCAGTGTGGCGGCATAAGCCTGTAATCCCAGCATTCTCCAAATAAAAATGAGAAAAAGGACGGGGAGTATAGCTCAGTGCAAAGGTACCCGGTTCAATCCTCAGTAATCCAAGAAAAGAAAAGAAAAATTGAAGATAAAAATATTAAAGGAAGGGAAAAAGAAAAGATCGCAGACAAAATGATGAAAACTTACAAACAGGCCCCTTTGCTACAGGCGGTTTTAATCCTAGAAATATGCCAATATTTTCTATTTACTTTGTGTTAAACATTTTCTTTTTCTCTCTTGCAGAAAAGAAGTCTGTAAGTCCATCTGCCAGTCCAGGTGAGTGCTGGCTTTTCCTGCTGTGTACATGCGTCTTGGGGGTGGGTGGAATTCTTTTTGTGACAGAAATGCCTGTGGAGCTCACAGGATCTTTTGTGTGTGCCAGAACTTGTGACCCAGAACGGGCCACTCCTCCACACAGCTCAGGAAAACTGCAAAACTGCATTTTTGGGTGCTTGCCAACTACAGCAGTGGGTGGGAGCGGACTGTTAGCTGTCCTCCATTTCTGAAGAGCGGTGGCTCCACTACAAGGGAGGAAACAAGAGTCCTCCTTCAGTGCTGTCTGCCCTGGGCCAGCAGAACCAGGAAGCTGAGGGAAGGGACCTGTGAGAAGGAGCAACTGGAGGTGCTAATAAGGGTTCTGTGGCTTTCTGTTAATGCAGATTAAAATTTCCTTGTGACTTGTAGCTGTAGACCCCTTTACCTTCCTTACACTCCTTCTACTTTCACAGCAGCCTAGTGAGATAGACCTCCCCCGCTGTAATTACCTTGCAGGTGAGGAAAGAGGGCCTGAGAGAGATTGAGCTTCACCACCTCACACAGCTAGGAAGGGCAGAGCAGAAGACACGTCCATGTGTCTGTTGCCAGCCCTGCGCCCTTGCCCTACTCTGGTGTGTGTTTCTGCCCAGGATTTCCTTCTGCCCAGGCTTTCTCTGCTCTGACCCTCAGTCACACCTGTGGCTTGGCTTACAGCAGCTGCCCAGAGCCAGGCTGGGACATGGCCCTTTCTGGGTCTTGTTTCTGTTGTGTGTAATAGAAGATGGTGCAAATAATATAAAATTTTAAATGGGAAGAAGTTTTGATGGACCTAGTAGTTGGTAAGAAAGGGAGAAAAATCAGACATGCAATGACATCAAGAATTACAATGCTGTCATTTATTCATGTGCTATCTCTGCTCATGCTGGAGCCAACAGAGCAGCTTTAGTGATGGCTTTTCGCCCCTCAGCTTCCTAAATTTAATAAAAATGTTCTGGACTTTGCTGCTCTATTTTCTGACTTAAGTAACAAAATCTGTTTCAACACTCTCAGTCTTTATAAATGTTTTAGAGATGCGAGTTTGACTCTGGGGTTAGATGTATCCCAATTATGTACTCAGGGTGTGATCCTGTTGTGTCCCTGGGTGTGAATCTGATGACTCAGGCAGAGCCTGGGTGCTGGGCTTCGTGGGTAGTGGTGCCAGATGACACTGGGGTCATGGCCGCCCAGCTGACATGCCTCCCTTTTCCTGCAGTCGTTTGCTATCAGGCCAACCGTGATGAGCTCCGGCGTCGCATCATCCAGTGGCTGGAAGCCGAGATCATTCCAGATGGCTGGTTCTCTAAAGGCAGCAACTACAGTGAAATCCTAGACAAGTACTTTAAGGTAATCAGAGGCAGGGTCAAGAATGTTCAGTGCCAGAGAAGGGGAAACCCTCCTCCCATTGCCTGACCATGAGGCAGTGTGCACCTGCTTAGAGTCCCTGTGTGTTTCCTCATCGGAGATCGTTCTACGAGATTGAAAGTTGTCTGGTGATGCACTTGATCAGTGGGAGGCCAGCAGTATGCCCTGGAATCCAACGCACAATTGCTGCTCCTCTTGGGCAGTTAAACCACAGATGCCCTAGAGAGGCTGTCCAGAAGAAATGGACAGCTGCCCTCTGGCCTTTACTTCATGTGCTGCCTTACAGAGGACCATCAGATCCCACCAGTCCCAAACTGTCAGCCCCTTTTCTACCCAGTTTGACATTTCTCTCAGTTTCTGTATTGACTTGTCCACGGCCTGCAGAGCTTCCTCATCAGCAGGAGTGCTCAGGCTGGCATTTGAGGGGCCCAGAGGTTCTTCGTGAGCTTTCCCAGTGCTGTGGCCCATCCTATCTAGTGGAAGAGATAAAGTTCTCATGAAATCCAGGAGAGATGCTCTGCTTTCAAACAGGAAAGTAAGGGAGAAAATGGCCTAAGATCTTTCTGAAAGCCTGAGAGTCCTAGAAGAAGCAGTTGAGGACACTCTTGTGGATGGGTGACAAGAACACTTGCACATAGGAATATCACATGCAGATAAGCACATCACATTCAGAAATACAGATACCTGAACACAGTCATCCGCAGACAGGCCGGAGACATGCCACATAGAGAAACATACTACACACATGCATTGAGGCACCCATGTTCCCATTGGTCCCCCATAATTTTCAGATGCACAATTTTAACTTTATGTCTTGGATGCTCATCTTGAGGCCGTGCTCCCCCTTGCCTGATCCCAGAGCCTGCTGTCCCCAACCCTTGCAAGCCAGCAGGGACCCTAGAAGGGCTCCAGACACCTGAGGGACTTCCTGGCAGCCCCCAGGCCACTCTGCATCCTCAACTCCCGTCTATCTGGTCTGTGAATTCTTCTTTCTAATTGGCATTATGAATCCCACAGACATAGCAATACTGGGTTGGGATAAAATAGATATTTGTTTATTTAAGATTTCTCTTGTGCTGTTGTTTTTAGATAAGGTTTCTCTCCCCTGTGGCAGAAGTGAAATCTCTCTGGAATCCACATTTTTTTATTTTTTATTTTTATTTTTTATTTTTTTCGCGGAACCAGGGATTGAACTCAGACCCTTGTGCTTGCCAGGCAAGCACTTATTCTACTGAGCCATCTCCCCGGGGGGCTGGAATCCACATTTTTAAGAGCATGACTGAATGAGAGCCCAGCTTGTGTCACTGTTCTGTCTCAGTCACTCCCACAGGACAGCTCTTGCCCTAGGGTCGTTCCTCTTCTACAGAGACAGATACCACATTGCTGGGCAGGAGCTGGACAGGAACAAAAAGTCATTTAAAACAATTTTTCCCAAGCCAAGTGTGTGGTACCTGTGGAGCCAGTTGTGAGCAGAACGTCGCCCCTGTGATTAGAGCAAGGATACTTGGGACCTTGTATTCATTTGTAGCTGTCCTTTGGTGGCACCTGGCCTCTGGCATCTCTGACACCTGCTGTTAGCTTTGATTCCCAGGTGCCTGGGCCACACCCACCAAGCACCTCCTAACTGTAGTGCTGTTGGAGGCTCCCAGTTGTAGACCACACAGCTCCTTGAGAAAGCTTCCCTTGAGGGCTTTCTCCCAACTCAGAAAGCCTGGGCACAGCTGACAAACAGCATTCTCCTTCCCAGACCCTGTGGAAGTGTCTTCTAGGAGTTTCCCTTGACTGATAATCACCAAGGCCTGGCACCTTCTTTTCTCAGGGCAGCTCCCTCCCAGGAGGTCCTTTGGTGAGGAGAGAGATGAGCTCTCCAGGAGACTTCCTGAATTACCTACCAACTTATTCTCCAGCCAAACCGATACTCCTTACACCAAAGCAGTGGGAAGGCAAATCTAATCAGAGTGGATATGACGAAAGACTGCCTTTCACCTCAGGCAGTCTTTCACTTCAAGCAGTGACTCAGGCATGAGTCAGAATGAAGGCATAACAGAATGAAGAAGAAAAGGACTCTGGTGGGAAGGGCCTTTCATGCCACACTAGGTGGCAGACTCCTGGGGACCAGGTTGGCACTGGAGCCAGCCCTCTACACCCCTTACAATGGTGTCACCTACTACACTGCACACAGCTACTGTGTGTGAGTGAGCACTGGGTTCAGCTCATCTCTGAATAGTCTCCAGACTTAACATAATGAGCACCAAGCGTGGGTCTCCAGCCATCCATGTCTCTGCCTTTTCATAACCCTGCAGTTACACAGAAGGAAAGCATTGTCTGAGATAGAGAGCTGGGGAAGAGAGTATGAAGCACTGTGTCTTTGTGACTGTCAGGCTGAAAGAGGCTGAGCAAATGAGGTTGGCTTACCGTCCAAGATCAAGACCTCAAAGGCATTTCCTGCTGTTTCTGGGGCAGGTCCCAGACTTCTGGGCTGGGATGGATTCCACACTGAGATCTGTCCTGGGAAGCCACAACTCAGCCCTCTTAAGAGAAGACTGCAGGCGGGCGAGGTTGTTCCCTCAGCTTAGACTCACGGATGTTAGAAGTGAGCACACAACGCTGCCTTTGAGAGCCCCCTGGTTGGCTGAGTTGCCAAGTTCCGGGTGCCCACATGGGTCCTCTGTAGTGGGTCTGCAGCTAGGGCAGAACTAAATTCCTCCCACATTCTGTAAAGAGGCCCTAGTGATGTTGGGGTCTTTGAGGGTTGTTTCTCTTGCCTCCAGCATGCAACATTTGGATTCAAGAAACTCCTTTGCTCTTAAGAATGCCTGTTGGCCAAGCTGACTTAATTACTCTTCCTTAATTAACCAAGACCTCACAAGGTAAACTGTAGGGAAATTTCCTCAGAGCAAATGTGCAGTGAGTAAGAAGTATCTGAGATTTGTTCCTAGGAGTCAGGACAGGAATGATAAGCAGGCACTAGCTAAGAGCCTAGTAGCTGTTTTTGTATGTACCTGTGTATGGCATGGAAAGTTTTATAACTTTGAAATGGAACATAATGATCATAAGAGTTTCTAAAGATAATTTTTTTCCTTTTACCTCAAAATCCAGGATGCATTTTTCTCCCAAAATTCCTTGCACTATCTGGAGGTTCACCTTAAAAGTAACAGTGGAGTCCTGATCATTTCCTAGGCAGCCTAGAGAAAGAATTTGGGAGTGAGAGAGAAATACTAATGGAACTATTCAGGAAAGCAACAGTGTCCAGCTTGGAATTTGACCAGAGTCTTGAAAGTGACACCCTCCCTCCTCAGCTAGAGCTTCTGCATCATGAATGGTCCCAAGTGGCTGAAGTCTCTGTTTAGGACCTTGCTGTGGAGGGCACAGCACCTGAGCTCATCACACTCTTACCTCGTGCCCAAGGGCTGTTGTGTGGATCATCAGGACAGCCTGCTTGGAGAGGCCTTGCTCATACCCACAGTGGAGGCTACAGTGCAGGGCCGAGGGCCAGGGATGTGCCAGCTGCTCTGCCCACAGCTTACTGTCGTGGCACCTTTACCTGTGAGCTCTCACTCATGTGTGGGTTCCATGTATCAGTGTGAAACTTAAGCCCTGAGTTAAGTACAAGGAGGCTAGAAATGAAACACTAAGACAGTCATGTGATTCCCAAAGGGAGCTTGGAAAGTCACTTGCATTGCTGCTCCTGGTTGCAAGCACGCATTCTGGGCTTCATGAGATTCCGGCTCACAGCTTCTGCATATATCTGCTTGTTACTTTTGCATGAGGATTTGAGCATGGGCCGGTGGCTGGTCTGAACCCAAGGGTAGAGAGGAAAATGTGGGACACTGCCAGGGGCAGACTACAGAGCACTCTCAGACACTTAGGGCTCTGGAGCAACTCAGGCCCCCATCCAACTACACCTCCCTAGCAAGACCTCAGTTGACTCTCCAGGCACTTTGAGTACTCCTTTCAGTGTACTGGTGCCTTCAGATACTCAGCAACTAGCACCTTGGCTGCTGAGCTCCTTTAGGCCAGGCCAGAATAGGGTGGGGACAGTGGTGGAACCGATTTACAACAGTCTTGAAAGATCTCTTATTCCCCTTCCTAGAACTTTGATAATGGTGACTCTCGCCTGGACTCCAGTGAATTCCTGAAATTCGTGGAGCAGAATGAAACTGCCATCAACATCACCACCTATGCAGATCAGGAGAACAATAAGCTGCTGCGGTGAGAGGCATGGGGCTCAGGGAGTGGACCACGGTAAAAGGATGCATGGGAGGATTGGAGCCCCCTTTTCTGCTACAGAGCCACCAGGAAAAAATACACATCTGCTCTATTCTTGCTGTGAGCTCTATAAATTAGTACATTTTACAACTTATTCTGGTCAAATAGTTACTGTTTTTGGCCAAAACATGCAAGCAAAAAAAGATATGATTTATAGAGGATATAATTTAAGGCTACATCAGAACAAAGTTGTTTCTGAGTGATATGACTGATGTTTCATTGGTTAATTTTCCGAAGGAATACATTAACCCATTATTTAATAGTAGACCTACAATAGCTTCAGTTCTGATTTTAAGATAATCTGTGAGGTCTCCTATATACTTCTCTAATTGCTATCAATGTGTATCCTTTTCTGGTACTAATCTAGACTAAATGTGAATAAGAATTTACCCCTCAGAAACTTCTAGTGTGGTCCTAGTGTGTTGGTAGAATTAAAAGTAAGAAAAGCAACTGATATTTGTTCAGAAGAAGTACTAAACACAGCTACTAGGATTCTTCCTAACCATAGTCCAGGACCTTAGGATATAGGATCCGTAAATCCTTCATATTTTGGTGGCTTAAATTTAGATAATGTTTTATGATTTCAGTGTTTGACCTTATAGCATCTCAGGGAAGGAGAGCTTTTGTCCTTCTTGTACAGGTAAAAGAACGAGCTCTTAAAGGCTGAATATCTAGTTCAAGACCATTTGGATAGTAAGAGACTCAGTCAAGGCTCAAATCCAGGCCAGTGGGGCAGTGATGGAGCTGAGGGTCTATGAAACTTTTCTGAAAGATCGCTTTTTAGAATGGTGATACTAGTGATTGCTGCTTGTTCATCAGATCCCATATTCCCTTCATAGTATCTGTTGCTCTTGTATTTTGATTTTTCTGGTCAGTTTGATTGATTGGACAGTTATACTATGGGAAAGGCAGTCATTAGAGAAAGTGTGCAGGTAGGGAAAGTATTTGTCAGTCAAAGCTGTTCACAAAAATTACTTCACTGTGGGGGAACATTTGAATAGCCTTAAGTGATACTGACATCTAGTTTAATAAGCGGGCCATTATAGGCACTCAGGGGAGTCGGGATGGATAATGGTTGTACCAGGTTGATGTTGAAGGACAGGTTTTCAGGGAACAGTCATTTTCTTGGCCTCCAGGAGGCCCCAGCTGTATCTGATGTTTCATTTCTCCAACAGGAAGCTGAAGTCTGGCTAATACGTGTAACTCATTTTATTTCAGAGGACTCTGTGTTGATGCGCTCATTGAACTCTCTGATGAAAACGCTGATTGGAAACTCAGCTTCCAAGAGTTCCTCAAGTGCCTCAATCCATCCTTCAGCCCTCCTGAGAAGAGTAAGCTTAATCTGGAAGTTGAGAGTTGTTGGGGATGGAGGTACTTGGGGGACTGAAAGGGAGAGAATTGGTACAACGCTACAGGGCTGGTGGGAAAAATCTACTTCCATGATTCCAGAGTGGGCACCCAGTCCATCCATTCTTATGGTGGTTAAAGTCCAAGTCTTTATTTTGATGGGAGCCTTAGGGAGGCAGCGCTGTCCTGGGGAGGAGTGGTACTCAGGCTGCATCAGCCTCACAGCCAAACTGTTGTCCTTCTCTTTGGTCCAACAGAGTGTGCCCTGGAGGATGAAACATACACAGATGGTGCTGAGACTGAGGTGGACTGTAACCGCTGTGTCTGTGCCTGTGGAAACTGGGTCTGCACAGCCCTGACCTGTGATGGTGAGCTGCACACCAGACAAAGAAAAGGACTGGTATCAAGAGCCACATGGGCTTAGTGCCTTGCATACACAAGGCCCTCGGTTCATTCCTGAACAACACACACAAGGCACGCACATGAGAGGTTGATTAGAGAGCAATGGGGAGGAGAGTGGTACATGGAACAAGCAACCCAGGGAGCAAGTGGCAGGCCCAGACTTTCCATATCAGGATCCCAGGGGTCACATGGCCAGCACAGTGCTTGTTCCAGATGCACTAGATTTGAAAATCACTCCAGAGGATTCAAACAGGAGAGGATCACGACCTGGAATGTGAGGAAATATTGCCATCAGACTGGAAAGATAACAGGAAAAGCAAACTGTGATTTAGTGAGAACTCTTCTAAGTACTTTGTGCATTATCCCACCCAGTCACTATGATGTTTAGAAAATACTGCATGTGAAAGACTCAGGTGGTTGGAAGACAAAATGACTTCTCTGCCATACCTAGCAGAAAAAAAAGACCAATGTCTGTGAACACGCTTTAACCTAACTAAGTTAGTAAGTCCTAAAAAGAAAAGTTGAGATGTTGACACATAGACAGGGTCAGTTGGGAAGTAAAGACATTGGACAGAGTTTGGGGTTTGGGACAGAAGCTAGAGGGTACCTCAGTACTCATTAAGTCCTGGGCTCCAGTAACACCAAAGATCAAGAGAGACAAACCAGGCCACACCTACAGTAGCTACTGAAGCCACCAGAGGATATCCTGCCTGGACCCACTTTGCTGACCTCAGCCATCACTTCTCTGGGCTTTGGCTCTTCTTGCAGGAAAGAATCAGAAAGGGGCCCAGACCCAAACAGAGGAAGAGATGACCCAGTATGTCCAGGAGCTTCAAAAGCACCAGGTGAGTGACAGTCACTATGCTGGTTCAGCTCTTGCTGCTGCCACCAGACACCAAACACCCTGACACCAGTCAGACACTTCTAGTGCTCCAGGAGATCAAGGAGACGTAGTTCGTTCAATACTACCTTTCGGAGTCCTAGCCCAGCCCCACAGTTCCCACAGATGTAGGTTACAACTTTGTAAGTGACCCATAAGCAAGCTTCAGCCAGTGGTAATTTGCAAGTAAGTATAATCTAAAGACGTATTAGTATTAATGTTGCCTGTTGTGGCCAGCAGCCAATTAAAAAATTACTGCACTACTTGAGAGCAGGCTCCATACTTTGCTCCTGATTGTGCCCTTGCGTGTAGCACAGGGCCGGGTACACCATCTGCACCCAGTGAGGGGGAAGTATGTAGACTTGAATCACAGGATAAAGAATTGAGGACGAAGTGCACGTGGCTAGAAAACAGCCTGTGATTGACAAAGCTTCTCCTTCCTGGAGGCTCAAGAAGATTCTGAGAATTCTACTGAGCCTTTGTGTCATTAAGTTGAAGCCCTCCTTGAGGAAAGGTTTCTTAGCAAAATAGTGATAGACTGACATATTGTGACAGTACTGGATCCTAGCCAGCCACTGACTTATCATGTAACATTAACATGATCTTAAAATGGACATTGCATACTTGTATACCAGGCCTGATAGTGAAAGCTTTTTCCCTGATTTATAGTTTTTTAGGGAATTTAATGACTGTAATAGCTGCTAAGATAATGAGATAAAATATTTGATAATTATTAATTAATATTCATGTGTTTATTGATGAGTCTTTATATACATTTTGTCATCACTGATCATGTAGAAAGCTCAGTTGTTTAAGCAGAAGCTTCTAGTCTTATTTTACCCAATTTCGTCAGTTGTGAGTTCCAAATGAGTTTAATCACTTAAAAGGGGAAGGGAGTAAAACTTCATAGGCATTTCTTCCATTGAGGGCAGAGAAATTATAGTGGAGTGACAGTGAGTAGTGAATGTCAATAGTTAACAGTTTTAGGTTTATCTGTCTTAGGGATGTTCACTCAGAAGCCAGCCCCGAGGCAGGGACTCAAGTTGAAATAGTTTATTTGGGAACCAATCCCAGGAAACAGCAGGAGAGGAACAGGGAAATGTGTCCAGGAAGGAAGAAATAAAAGGCATATTCGGGCACAGCACCAACACGGGCACACGGGGTGTGACCTTGGGAGGAATTCTGAGGGCGAGTTACTGTGCTCAACGTGAGAGGGCACTCTGTCAGTGACTGACTGGGGATTGCTACCAGGAGTCCTTGATTCCCTTGTATTTGTGGCCATCGGCATGTGTGGACAGCATGGGTTCTTAAAGCCACTGGAAACCTGTAGGACAGCAATAAGAAAGCCAGTGTTCACCAAACTACACCAGCCATGTCAGCTAGAGTACCAGCCTCTGCTGTCAGTGTTCTTCCTTTTTTAAAACAGACTATAAAATTCGACCCTTTAATGTATTCAGTTTGGTGATTTTTAGTATATGGTAAAAGCGTTAGAAGCCAGGCAGGTGGAGCATGTCTGTAATCCAGCACTTAGCAGGTCAAGGCAGGAGGATCAGTGTCAGTTCAACGCCAGCCTGGGCTGCACAGTAAGTTCAGGTTGTCCTTGAATTAGGGTTAGCAAGACCCTAATTCCAACAATAACAAAAAGAAAGAAAAAAGTATCAGCTATCACCAGCTAATTCTAGAACATTTTCAGCATTCCATGGAGAAATGGCATTAAAAGTCACTTCCTTCTGCCCCGGCAACCGCTACTCTACTTTCTGTATTTATACATTTGCCTGTTGTAGACATTTCATAGAAATGGACCACTTTTTTTTTTTTTTTTTTTTTGTAGAACCAGGGATTGAACTCAGGTCCTTGTGCTTGCCAGGGAAGTGCTTATTCTACTGAGCTATCTCCCCAGCCCCATTTCATATAAATGGAATCATACCATATGTGGCTTTTTCTGACCAACTTCTTGCACTGAGCGTAACGTTCTCAAGATTCATCCTTCAACATGAATCAGTACTCCATTCCTCTCTGTGGCCCTGTAACATCTTGTGGCATGGATGTAGCACACCACATGTGTCCATTCATTATTCAGTAGGTGTTGAATTTGCTTGGGTTTCTTAACTGCAAGGAATAATGTTGCAATGAGCACTAGTGTACAAGTTTTGTATGAGCATATATTCCTAGGCATGGAACTACTGAGTCACAGGATAACTCCATGTTTAAATTCACATTCTTGCCAAAATTTGTTGTTGTTATTCTTTATTTTTTATTTTATTTATTTATTTATTTTGGCGGACCTGGGGATTGAATTTAGGACCTTGAGCTTGCCAAGCAAGTGCTTATTCTGCTGAACCATCTCCCCGGCTCCTGTTGTTGTTATTCTTTATTGTAGTTGTTCTAGTTGATGTGAAGTGGAATCTCTTTGAGGTTTTGATTTATATTTGCGTAATGTTTGATGGATGGTATTGGACATCTTTTTTTGGCCATTTTTATATCCTTTTTGGAGGCCTGTGCCAGACGCTGCTGTAACAGTTTGTTCCTCGTTGCCCTCGGGTTGCAGTTGAGGACATTGAGACATGGGACATTTCACAATGCACCCAAAGCCACCAAGACAGTGGCCCTGCCAAGTTCTCAATGAAGCATTTGCCTGTGGAACCCACTGGTCTTCATTCTCTGGGTCTTGTTGGAGTCACAGCATCTTGTGTAGTTCCCATTTGGTATCCTCTTCTTTATCCTTAAAATGGAAATCAGGGCTTGCCTCAGCAGCACATGTACTAAAATGAAAGTCATACTATTTGACCAGTTTGTTTCATAGCAGTGGAGATGGGATCGCTTCTTAATTTAGTGAACAGCCCCTACGCCACCTTGTCGTGAAAAGGATGTGTTCCTTACCCTCAAGTTGTTCAGCATCCACAGAGGAGCCAGAGAAGTAAACAAGCAAATTTAGCATAAACATGCATCTGCCAGTGTTTTGTGTTGTTAAATATTTCCATGATGATTATTTTCTTTTGCATCTCAAAGGAAACAGCTGAAAAGACCAAGAGGGTGAGCACCAAAGAAGTCTAAGAGACACGAAGGAAGAGTGTCTGGAGCGCAGCACCTTCTCTTCTACTTCAGCGCCGAGTCCAGTATACCAAGTGTCTGCTACAATCACCAAATCACCAGTATTTGCTTGTATAGCAACAAATTTCATTTTATGTGTTTTGCAATAAAGGAAATGGGGGTAGCTGGCTAGGAAGAAAGAGGCCATAGCCTTCATTTCTAGGAGAGCTTTTTGAGGAACTGTAAGTGGTGTTCTGGGGCTGGAGGCAAGTAAGGAAACTGCATCTGGTTGGCAGAAGATAGACCCGGAGCTGAAGCCTCTCTGAGGTCGCAGCAGCTGTGAGCAGCTGCAGGGAGCAAATGCAATGCCAGAGAGGACTGGAAAGGCAGTCCCTGGAGGAGGGAAAGAAAGGCTCAGACCCAGAGCTGAAGCCTCTCTGGGGTCACAGACCACATTCTGCTTCTGACCCTTGATGTCACTGTTGTCCGTATAACAGATGTCCAGTATTTTGCTTCTCCTCTTGGTCCCAGCTACTCCTCTAGATATATGGCCATCCGGCCAGTGACCCACATCCCTCATCTTGGATGGAGTTTCTGGGAGAGTGTGCCCAAATGATGCAGATACTTAGATATTTTGAGCCCTATAGAGACCTAACTAAACTTTCAAAATATGTTTTACCAAAGGTGCTACTTCTCTGTAAAATGCTTTTGCTTATTTGGTAAGTTGACTTCCATTTTTCAGTTATTATCATTATGCTGTTGTTTTGTATTTTATTTTCTTGATTAGGTATTAAGTGTTTATAATTACTTTTTCAGTAGTTCTACCATTTCTGAGGTGGGAGGAGTTTGGAGTTCTTCTTGGTGCAGGGACCTCTGTAATTCAGACACCCTCAAGCCTCCCACAGGCTAAACTAGATAAAGCCTGAAGTTGGCCTCTTAGTACCAGCAGGTCAGCAGTGTACCAAGGAGGCAGAGAGGCCTTGGACAGAAGCCAGGGGAAGAGGAAGCTCTTCATGTAAAACTTCCAAGATCTCAAGGTTAATGTGTACTCATTTATTCTGAGAAAATCAGGCAAATCGCTATTCCAAAGGATGGAAGCTTAGCATATCCCGGCCTCAGAACATGATCATTGATCTACCAGTAACATTAGCAGTGATTTTGACTTTATTTCCTCCTATTTATGGGCCCAAGTTTCCTCAGTGAGTAGTTAAGAATGCATTAAGCTTTTGATTCGATAAATTATAAACTTTGTGATTCTGGCAGTTGTCCAGAGGGTGACAGGTTCCTGTGATTTTCTTCCTTCTCCTTAGGAAAAATGAAACTTTTATCTTAACAAGAAAAGTCATAGAGCTGATAAACAAGATAGCCAACTTTGACCTCAGTCTGAAATGAGCCTTGCAGTTGTGCTGGTATTTGAGGGCTTCTTGGGAAAGCTGGCCCAAGAGAGGGTTAAAGAACCACCCCGTGCCTGTCTTCAACCATGCATATCATATGCAGCTCTTGTTGGAGTCAGAAGACCTTTCCCTTTAGAGTTGAGGCCAGAAGGTTTCCGATTTAAGAGGAGTAAACAGTAGAGATTGAGTCTTAATGCTGAACTCTGGAGAAGTCACTTATTTTCAATAACACTTAGGTCTTTTGGCTCCTGATTATAAACCCCATTACCATGTTTCAGATAATTTGGCATAACAAAGATCAAAACTTGATCTCATTTGGAAAACTCAAGATATAGACCCTCAGAGACTAAATAATTTGGTGGTATGACACAGGCAACAGAAATTTGTGCCAGAAGAGGGATTCCTTCCATTTTCCTGTTCTCATTTGAAAAGAGAAAACTTGTACTTTGCTCAGTTAGAATTCTGAACTTTTATGTATCGCCCTATTTTTGAGAAGCTCGCTTTGAACCCCATGTGTGCAGTTTGAAATAAAGCTCCCTGTCCAAGTGCCTTGGATAACCCAGAGCAGCACGCCTTAAACAAAGGAAGTTTTGTCAGCTCTTGGGCACCATGGGAGAGGGCAAGAGTACCAGTTTGTTTAAAGTAAGAAGCCACAGTGTCTCCTCACTGGTCACATTTACACTACCCCACCCTGCAACACTGAATTCCCAAGAGCAAAGCCACATTCCTCTTGAATCTGCTGCTTCTGTGTAAATAGGGCAGCTGTTGCCTGCACCGTAGGCTCAAGTGACCTGAGGGCCACTCATGGAAAGCTGCTAAACAGCCTAGTTTGGGAAGTCTTGCACAGAGCTTTTCGTGGAGCAGACAGGCAGGATTAAATCAGGTTTAGCTCCTTTAGCCTTCAGAAAGCATAGAGGATATAGATTGCAAGCTTCCTAGGCTTTCTCTTTGTGTGTGGTTTTATAAGCATTACTATGTCTGTTCAGATCCAGGGTCCATGGAAAGCCTCCCACATGCCAGGACTCTGGATACCATCGCTGTTCTTTAAGAACAGGGCTCCTCCACCTGCTAATAAGTGAACCAGTCTGGATGTCTTTCCATCTATGTTTTAAATAGTCAAACTTCAGGAAACAATTTGAACAGCTTTCTCTGACCTGTGTGTTTGAGAAAATGTATTTGTATTTAGTATGCTTCCATATTGCATTTAACTTTTTTTGTAACTCCTGACTTTTTTGGTTACTATTGATAAATAAAATAAAATAAAATAAGACTTTTTTATGTTTCCTTCCCTACATACAATTAAGACAAGATAAATGTAAGAACATTAAATATTTACATCACAAAGTGGATTTGGGTTTCAGGAGCCTTGATGGGCTGAAGAGTTTCTCCTATAACCAGTTTCTTTAAAGGATCGTAATGGTGATTCTAGGGTAGAAGTTAGATGAGAAGTTAGGAAATGTATTGGCCCACTCAGGCTACTGTCACAAAATAACTCTGTAATTAATGAACAATTTATTCCTCACAGACTAGAGGTTGTAAAGTCTAAAATCAAGGCACTAGCAGACTTGGTGTCTGCTGATGTTGCTTTTTGCTTTTAAGATGGCTTCTCATTGCATCCTCATGTGGCAAAAGGCATGAACAAGTTCCCACAGGACTGTCTAAGAAGAACACCAATTCCCCTCATGATGGCTCTCTTATGACCTAGCCAAGTCCTCAAAGCTTCGTCCTTTCATAGTGTTGCATTGGGAACTAAGTTTCAACCTGTGAAATTTGGGGTGGTAGAACACATTCAGGACAAAGCAAATAGCATTCTTAAATTGGGAGGTTAAACTAAAAGGATTCCTAGAACCCCCATAGGTCACTCACTGCATTGACATTCAATGAAGCCAAATATAAGTCAGCAATGTGAGGAAACCTGATATATTTAGGAAGATGACAGAGGAAACATGCAATCATTGTGAGAAATGGCACTTTTCCTTGATGCGCATGTTGCAAGTGGCCTGAGGCTGGTTGGCTAAGGCTGTTTTGCTCCATTGTTGAGCTGCATGGATATTACTCACTTTTTAACTTTCCAATTTTATAGATATGATGTACTTCCTACCCCTAATTCCTTCCAAAGGAACATATGGTTGATAAAGTTTCTTTTCTCTTTTAAGTAATTTGTAAATATTTTATTTTATTTTTTTAAATGTATTTGGTTGTTACAGGATCTCACTATGCAGCTCAGACTTGTCATGGTCCTCCTGCTTTCAGCCTCCTCAGTGCTGGGATTATAGGCATACGCCACTACACCCAGACTCTGGCTGGCTCAGCCCACCCTGGGGGTGGGGTTGGTGCAGCATGTGGTGCCTGGGATCAAACTGTGGTCCCTGCACTTTCCTAAGCTTGCCTAAGCAGGTGCTTTAGTCCTCTGAACTATCATCAGCCCTATAAGGTTTCTTAATACTAGAAATACGTGTAGAGCTCTTGCTTCTTGAAATGAGGTCACTTTAATTGGATTTGGGGAATTATCCAAATGTTAATCAAATATGAAAAGATAATACCTTTGATTATGTTACCAATATGTTCTCATAGTCCAACTTCAAATTTTCATTCTCAAAGGGAGTCTTGAACCCATACTGATGAGTACCTTATCCATAACCAAGTTTTAGTACCGACTGACATCTCCCAACCTTCCACCAGGCTCTGGGACTATGTTCCAACTTATAATATGTATTATGCCCCCAAAATTCATTAAGACAACCAAAATGAAGTATAATTCAGAAATTAAGTCTCCTGTAATCAAGAGTTACATTATAATTGTACAAAAAATTAATTACTTTCATTAGCTTTACTCGTAGATCACCTGTATTGAGTCTCCATTGGTCTTCAAATTACATCTAAAATAAAGTAGATGACAAGAAAAGTAGACTGGATGAGCAGATATATTCCAGCAAATATCTCAGCCCTGGAGTAAATTTAGTATAGGTGTGAGATGAAGATATACATGGACCCTGCTGTTTCATGGGATGATCCTGGAAGGAACATGTTGCTGTCTACAGAGGAAAACCTTCTTGTCAGAAGGAGTGATTTTTTTTTCCTAATCATTTAACTATTTTATTGGAAAAGTAATGTACACACAATAGCAAAAAAAATCCCATATTATATCTAAGAAAACAAAAGGTTTGATCTTTAAAAACTCCAGTGAATATTTAAATTTCTAAAAAATATTATAAGAACATTTAAACAAAAACATCTATCCTTCAAATACATCCCATTTTCTTTTCACTTTCTGAAGCAGCTCTGGAATCTGTCTTGTGTCTAGTTGTGCTATTATAGGTAGCTTGGCATATATATAATTTTGAAATAGGGTCTTGCCTTGGTTCAAGCTGGCCTTGAACTCACTGTATATCCCAGGCTGGCTGGAACTCATAGTGGTCCCCCTGCCTCAGTTTTCCAAGTGCTGGAATTGCAGGTATGCTCCACTATGCCCAGCTCTATATATTGAATCAATTCAAAATGTTTAACCTTTGTTGATTTGTGTCCAAATGTCCTACCAAAGCCTCAAGGGTGTCATAGTAATTTTTGGAGGTGGCTGAAGCTATGATTGATTCACAGTGCAATGCTGGGATTAAAGGTGCTAGGATTAAAGGTGTTTGATTGATGGGTCAGTCCACTGTTTGGATTGGCACCTTGTAATTCCCACAGACTGGATACAATATAGGGGACAGAAAGAGACCTTGTCTCTCCCTCTTGTTTGCTTTTGCCATCTTCTGCCACCATGAACTGTTGCCTCTGCCATGTACCCCCCTGCACTGGAGCTAGCCAATTATGGACTGAAATTTCTAGAAAGTGAAGTAAGCAAACCTTTCCCCCTTTGACCTCGGATGTTGGGTATTTTGTCTCAGCAACAAGAAAAGTAACTAAGACACTTTTCATGGTAATTTCAACTTTGGAGAAGAGCTAAAAGCTATATAAAGCCACATCTGGTGAGAAAGATGGATGAGAACAGTTGTTTTTACAAACTTGTCTTTTCATTGGATGACACACAGGACCAGCATTTACTGTATTTCTTATCACACCTAATAAAGGCATGAAGGAGGACTTGCAGACTTGCTTCCAAAAGTGGCAAGAATGATGTTCAAAGGAAGGAAATACTTTGAGAGGGTTAATGGCAATGTGTTACTATGACTTTTTTAAAAAAGTTAAAAATTCACCATATATCTTGATCTCACCTTGTATAGTCAATGAAATCATCCTCAAAGAGTGTGTACATAAAGTTATACTTTTGGGGAGTATTTTTATAGTTGTTTATAAAGTGTGTACATTTATAACTATGCTTATATTTGCCTGATGTCCTTCAAAGAGGCTGCACAAATATATGTTCCCACCCAAAAATACATATAGTAAGTATATGCATCTACCTACACTTTTGTAAACACTATGACTTTAAACTTTTCAGCTACTAATAGAGGAGAAAATAGAACTCTTGTTACTTTATTTTCCCACTAGGACATGTTTTCAGCACACGCATTTTCCAATCATCTGGGGCAGTATGCACATGTACATAATACATCTTGCTTCTTTCTGTTTTAATCCCTTCCCCATCCCTCCCCCTCTTCTAATTCTCCTTCCCCCGTTTTCTTTTTTATTTTATTTATTTTCTTTTTTTAATGTATTTGGTACAGGGTCTCTCTACACAGCTCAGACTCACAGCGATCCTCCCGTTTTCAGGCTCCTCAGTGCTGGGATTACAGGTGTGCACCACCACGTCTGGTCTTGGTGGCCAGTTCAGTGTGCCCAGGAGTGGGGCCCACTCCCCCATTTTCATTCTTGCTGGTATTAATCCTAACTCATATTTATGGCATATAATGTTTGTATTCATTGAAAGTATTAGGTTTCTATACATGACAGTCTTTTTTCTACTTATTTCCCCTTCCATTCCATCTCGCTTCTGACCCTTGGTCTCTTGGTCTCTTTTACCATTTTTGAGATCCATCCTCTTGGCTCCTTCTCCCTTTCCTCTGTTGATCTCTTTGCATATACTTTGCCTTATTCAAAAGAAAGATGCTCTGTGGTATTTAAGCCTGTGTGTCCTGTTTATTAAATGCAACATTATATTCTCTAGGTGCATCCGTTTTCTTATAATGGCTCCAATTCTTTATAGCCAAGTAGCTTTCTACAATGGTACATGGATACCATATTTTC